GCCATCCTAGTTGTGCAGCAAGGAGGCATGTACCCTGATGCAATTGGCGCGCAGCTTTAGGTGTGACCGTGTTGGTCGTGTGACCATGTTGGTCGAAAAGTACGAATAACCATGTGTGGCTGCACAGTTCTGAGCAGTCAAGAGGTACTGCGCCAGCCAGTGCGCCTCCACTTCCTTGTGGGTCGTCGGCCTTAGCAAAATCTGATGCTTCCGGACATCGACACGAATAGCGGGACTGCTACTGCTCCTGATGCCGCTGCTGCTGCCGCCGCTGCTGCCGCCACTGATGCCGCCACTGATGCCGCCACTGCTGCGCCGCTGCTGCGCCGCTGCTGCTGCTGCTGCTGCTGCTGCTATGTTGTGCGTCGTGACGCCCTCTCTCTCTGTCTCCTTAGACAGCCACGATTTCTGGCGGCTTGAATGTTACCCATGGCTTCTTTTGGGCCCTTGCCCAAAACCTCGAGGCGGAGCCAGGGTGAACATGCGGACCTCATCAGTCAAGCGCATGGTAACAGTGTAAACAAAAATCAAGAAAACAGATGCAGGCACAAGATGGCAGTCGAAACGAAAAAGCATTGACGATCACAAGAATGGTTGAAGCCACGAACCACGAATCATATCAATGTTACAATCAACCACAAACATGGAACATGATGGGCAATTCAGATATTTCTCCTCGGCCAGGGGCTCGAGGACGGCAGCTCAAGGAGGGGATCGTGTGCGAGGCGAAAAACGTGCCACAAAAAAGCGTTTGCGCATGATCAGGTTAGACGCTCAGGAGTGTCGGCAGCACGGAGAGAGCTAGCAGCTAGTTGCTACTCGTCGCCCCCGACAGAAGCACATGGGGGCTGGGGCCAGGTTTTTTCAAAGCAATCACTGTCAACCTTTTCAACCCCTCGGCATTGCAAAGACCCTTGAGTAAAGGCACAAAGGCTCGGGCTTCCAGTTGGATCTCGGGCCAGCACCCGTAATCGAGCCAAGGGCTAATAGGGCCGCTCGCGTTTGGGGAACGTGTTTAAGAGAACGGTGGCGGCTCCAAGCTGAAAGACTTTGCCAGGAATTGGCCGCGTTGGGCTCGACAGTAGGGGGTGAGGCAGGGAATGGGCAATGGCACAACAAAAGGGTTTGGAAGCTGATTCATGAAAAACCTACCGCTGCATGAGAGCGCTTGACACATTCGGAGACTCGGACGGCTGGAATTTGTGTGTTTGTCCTTCGGGTCTCTAGTGCAATGGCGGATTGCTAGACAAGGCCGGAAACGCAGCTCTTTACCATGTCAAATCTGAGCACACGCCTCCATATACTTGTGTTGGTGCTCCCCGGGGCATACCAGTACAACGGCATCTGGTCAGAGACTCCAGGCATGCAAGCAGCTACTCTACGGTAATTTCAACATCAAGAGGTTGGCTGCAGCGACCACCTGTCACTTTCATGACACGGAAGTTCGAACCTTTTTAGCCGGCCGACCTACTAGTACTGCCAACTCTGAAACCACTGGCGAGCCCCCTATTGGCGATCATCGAAATCACGCTTTTCAAAGATCTTGAAGCATGCCGGGTTAAATGCATAGCGGCACGCTCACGGAAGGCCGTGTTTCAACGCAGCTACCTGTGCAGAGACGGAATCTTGAATTCACCGTCGACTGAAATCCACAAAGGTGAAGGACATGAGTCACGAGTTCGAAAGATGCAACATGACTATTGAAAGCCCAGCCGCACATGGGTGCCTCCGCATCCGCATTTGCACATGGTCCGACATGCGGAGTCTATGTACGAAGAGTATGCACGCACTTTGGCGTGCTGCCCTGGCGATGCAAGGCATCGGCATGCACTAACACCGTGACCAACCCAGTTTTGCAGGCGTCAAGGCAATGCTAGTTCAGAACATCAAAAGTGCTTGGATCGGTCACGTTCGTGTTGGACCGCCTTTGCAGCCGCATGGTCCAGGACAAGGGTAGGGCCTCTCGGGCGAAGGTGGAGGAGTGCAACACGAAATCTGCAAATCATGAAACTTCACGGTGTCGTTTAAACCATCCCGAGAATAAGAGTCTGGCGGCATCTCAACAGCCGGCCGGTGGAGCGGCGGACATTGTAAGACAAGAACCACCATCGCAACAGCAATGACAATGGCAAGGAGCAATCGCAACAAGAACACAACCAGGCTATCCGTTCGCAGCTGCCCAGAGATGTGCTTGTGGTGCAGAAGGGCTGGGATTTCAGACTTCAGCAGAGGATGAAGTCGCGAGTCTTAAAGAACATCTCTGTGTCTGGGTCCTGTTTGCTAGCCTCAGGTCTTCAGAAGGCCCATGGAAGCCAACTTCACGAAGAGTCGGGACTTCAGGGCATCGTCCAGGGAGCTGAAGCGATCGGACTTTACGATGGCCTGGGCCAGACAAAACAAGGTGTTGGGTGCTGGCTCAACCCGATGCTAGGTTCGGTTCAAGGCCAGACCTCAGGGGAAAAGCATTCTGCCACAAATAGCTGGGGCTGCTGCAGTCGCATTGCCAGCAGCGAAGTTCATGACGATATCTTGAATGTATTGTGCCTGCATTCACGGCGGCTGCTGCTGTGTCCGGACAGTATTCATCGCATGAATACTAAACCGACTACTGATCACGGAAAAACATTCAGGGTGTGACAAGATTGGGAAAGTCTCGCCCTGGCCTGCGGGTCATTGAGGTCACACGCGTCGACCACTTGCATGATGTCGCAGGCATTGTCTACACCTCACAAATCATTGTACAGCACTGAAACTCGCAGCCCCCTGAAAAACGAAGGAGCAGACGGCAATGGCGCTACACGCATGAGTAGCAGTAGACAACAACGGCCATACTTCACGGGCCGAGGGGCATGCAACAACAAATTAAAATTCGTAGTTACAACTTCAAGCCATCCAGCGCCAGGGCTCGCGAACATCAAATGCTCGCTGAGAACGATGGGCCCCTCGCAAAGTCGCAGCTTTGTGACCTCCACCGCGAGAGCGCTGCGGTGGAGGAAGAGGCACGACCTTCAGTTCTTCAGGTGTTGAAAGGTTTCCGCAACCCGACAACTGCAGTCTGTGGGCTGCTCCCGGAGGTGACAAGAAGATCGGTCGAGAACGTACCCCTCGCTTTTCTGCACGGTGCCGTTAGCAGACACAGGGAGCCTCGTTGTGATCTGCTCTTTGTTGTGACATGCTCTTTTGATATGTCCTCTCACATCGAGCAGGCGACCAATGATGACGGCATGCCCGTCCAAGGGCTTCTGCTCGCGGATTACTATTCCGGTAAACTTTACTCAGCACAACAACCAACTATCCTCTGAATCACGCAGGAGTATTCAGGCCCACGAAACAACCAGCAGCCCAGGCGGCCCGGCGAGACGCATTGCGCCAGGCTCCCGGCCGTGGCCGCCCGCCTGACAGCGGGCAGGATTAGAGTTTGAGGCCTAAGGCTTACTCCGGGTTTCACAACATATCCGACTCTGCCACGCACTCTGGGGATGCTTCGGGCCGCAGAATCTCAAACTCAGACTCAGACACTCCAGGGAATCCGTCCAGGTCTGTGGGAAGCCATACCGACTAGGAATCACAGGAGTTCGAGCTCTGTGTAAAGCGCGACGACAGCCACACTTCTATACAATGCAGCGGAGTTGGTGTTCTTTTTTTCCACCTGCAGTTGCAGCGAGTTGGACAGCTACATCTGCTGCACCAACCTGCTCTCTCTCTCTCGAGGTTTGTTGTGAAACTTTGGCTACCACAGGTCGTGGGATAGACTCATTACCGGTCATGGTGACGATGGCACATCTGAAGGTTGTAGCCCGTGGCCCATGATGAGCTGTCAGCTGTCGGTGGTGCTGAAGCCCTGCTGATGGTGACGAGGACGACGCTCAAGCCGGTGTGTGCTGCTGGGTGGCGCTGGTGATGGTGATACGGAAGATGAGGATCCGCATGGTTCTATCATTGCATCAATGCTGGTAGTGATGATGTGGTGGTGCCGGTGGTGGCATGAGGTCAAGAAGGATTGGCGTAACCTAGGCCTGCAGCAAAGCTTTCCGTCAACCCTGCACTGAGACCACCTGACGTGTGCGTCCGAGACTGCCTGTAGGCCAGGTTCGGCCATGGACACGACAAGACAACCGAGAGGCGAGGTGCTGCGTAGTTCATGCCCCTTCAGGGCGTTAGATGGGCCTTAGATGGGCCTTTGAGGACTTGACTGCCGGGCTTGTGGCTATACTGCCGGGTGCGTTCATGTCAACTGAAAAGTTGGTATGGCGACCTGTGGTTTTAAGCTCCCGATCCCAGTTTCGGGATCGAGGGGCGCTGAGCTAGGAAATGTAGTCGGGATCGAGGCCGCACATCACATGCAGGCTGCCGGTATCAGCTCGGATCTTGGCGACCAAAAACTACTAGCCAACGTGAATGCAGGACCGAAAAGGCTTACCATGTCCACTCGGCCGGCACCTACAGCGTCGGGGAGCAGTTTCATCGCTTTCGCCAAGTTCTCATCTTTGCGTTTGAGAAAACCCCAAGTTTTTTAGCTTGAGGCCGTGCCTACCAGCTAGTGGCCTATGTCACGGAGAGACGGTTTGAAAAAGGCATCGGGGAAGGCTTGCCACTTTGTCGGCAATCCTTCTCGTCTGGGCAGGAGCAAGGCCAGACTGTACACTGCGGTCGTTGCACCATCAAGCTCACATCAGCGTGGCATCCGAAACCTTCCAAAAGCACCGGCTATGAGATGCAGAGAAACCTATGTGCAGCAATTGCGATGAACGTAGCGGGAGTCTTGTGCAGCAACTCAAGTTTGTCTGCGCAACTCGCCCCGTACCGCAAGGCTATGCATCCTTTGCACCACTATCCTTGAGTCATCTATGAAAAACTGCAGCCACGGGCTCAAGGTTGCCATCACACCTCCTGCGGTCACGTCCTTTTCAATGCCCAACCCGTCGCACACAGATCTATCGAAACTGTGCTCCGATAGCCTCAAACCCCGCCCTCCTCCCCAGGCCTTGTGCCCGGAATTCTCACATGGCCACCTCAGCTGCATGCATGGCTTCAGACCCGTCACCAAAATTTCTACCACGTCACGGAGGAGAAATGATTAAATGGTAATGTGCTTGCCCAGTTGATGGCGACGGTGATGACGACAACCCTTGCATTGGCATCGCAACCGGAATGCTGAATCTGAAACTAAGCCTCAACATCCTGGGAATGCCATGACCACTTGTCGTCCTGGGCCAACAACAACAACAGCACCAAACAACAAACAACAAGCCACAAACAACAAACAACAACCAACCACAACCACAACCACAACCACAGCCACAGCCACAGCCACAGCCACAGCCACAGCCACAGCCACCACCACCAACAACAACAACGATGACAACACGCCCAGCCTTCCCACCTAACAACGACAATGACGACGTCGGCGACAACTACTGCGCACTACCACGCACTGCTTTTTGTGAACCCGTCCTGAGGCCGAGGCGTGTGACGGACGGAGGAGCGTTCTCCGAACAGCTCACAGCAACAATGATGCAAGACTTAACTTGCATCCAACTCGATATTTCAGAGATCAGACACGAGACGCTCAATTTGCAAGACCCAAGTCATATGAACAACAGTAAAACGAAACTATGTGCACTGAGACCTTGTGTCTTCAGGTACACCCTTGCACAGAATTGAATTGGCGCAGCTTCTTGACCGTGCTCTTTCAGCATCAGAGTCTCTCGAGGCATACGAGAATCGAAGTGCGTAGCGGCGTGGCGGTTGGCTTGGCCGCACTCATAAATTCAAGTGCATGCTGCGTACTTCTTGTGGCACACAAGGTGCGATCGAGATTAAATTCCAGACTGCTCCACAGTCTTGGTAATTAGCTTTCGCACCCTTGGCCACCGATCCACCGCAGGCAAGCTGTGTCATGTCTTCTTGGCTGGTCAGAAATTCCAGACTGCTCCACAGTCCTGGTAATTTTTCCCACCAGCCCAGCTGACAGAGTCGGCCCGCAGGAAATTCGTCCGAACTGAAAACTGAAGAAGGGTGCCAGTCGTGAGAATTAGTTTTCGCAGCCATGGCCACCGATCCACTTGAGGCAAGCCGTCTCTTCTTGGCTGGTCAGAAGCAGAACCATGATTCCGTACATGAGGCACAAGGCCGGGATCACAGTGACCAATGTGGCCTTGACAGAGCTGGAGCCTGATTCTTTCTTTCGCCTCTGAGCATCCTTCTTCTGCCAGGGGATCATGGGCAGCAAAAACAAAGCAATCAGGGAGCTGCCATAGCTGAGCACATAGGACCAGGCAACTGTAGAGCGGAAGGTGCTAGTGTCTGCAACGTAGTTCTCAAGCATGGATAGGTTCGGGCTGAAAAGTCCGAAGACTTGATTGCTCACAACTGCCCCAAAGGGTGTACTCGAGCTCTGGAACGTATTGATGAGGCCAAAGCACAGCCCTTCTCGACCCGGCTCAGCAAGTTCGATGATCATCAAATTGGACACTAACTGGAGTGCGGCTTTGGGGATACTGCCTAGGACGTCTTCACCGAGGTAGAAATACGGGTTGCGGACGACGCCGAAAATGGTGAGGAATGTCGGGATTGCATCGAAGACAATGATGGCAACGATTGAGACGAAGATGGCCTTTCGCCAGCTGGACTGGAGCAGGCAAACCTTGTAGATCCAGGTCGCCAGCATCATGACAGCCAGCCCAGCAAGGCCAAACGTTTGTTGCTGTAGGACTTTGACCTCAGCCCATCGGCTCTTCACCATTGGCGCGGCGGTGGTTGTTATTGAAACAAGCAGCTGCGCCAAGAACGCAAAGAAAAGGAGGTTCGAGAACGAGTTCTTCCGCACGAGCTCCCACGAAGACTTTACATGGGCGCGGCAGGAGGTTCGGTCCCCGCACTGCCTGGCTTTCGGGAGCTCGTGCACGCAACAGACGGAGAGCGGGATCATGAAGACAACCAGAACGAAGCAAAAGGCCATGAGACCGCTGAAGGAGAACCCCCAGTCGAACGTCCCCAGGTAGGGCTTGCTGTTCATGAGCACGCCAACGACCACAGTGGCGGTCAAGGCCCCCGCTGTGGACACCATCATCATTTCCGCCTTGATGTGCCCTCGGCGTTCCACCGGCTCACGCTGCGAGTACTCAAGCAGGAGACCCTCACCGGCCGCGATGCCAAGCTGGATGCCTGCTGTCAGGATGAACAACCAGAAAACGTACCAGTTCTTCTCGGTGCGGATGCTCGGGTTACATGGAGGGACCATAAAGTTGTAGCTGCCATCCTCGTTTTGGCAGTAGAAGGGAGCAGGCAGTGGCTTTAAAGCCATGGCAAGAAGAGCAGAACCGGCAAGGCACCATGATGCCACGAAATAAGGCTTCCGGTGTTTGCCCCGAATCGGGCAACAATCCGTGAGAAAGCCGAACGGAAGAAGCAACACGTGCGGAAGCTGCATCAGCTGCGTAATCGAAGAGATTACGTACGAATCCAGCCCCATGTAGCCGAGGAAGAATCCGTATGGAACAGCCGCCAAAATCGCAGTCAGGAACGCCAGAAGGAAGCCCCCGATTACGATACCCATGGACTTTTTTGTCCAAATGCTGATTTCATGGCACTCAGGCTGCAGCTCCAAGGCATTCTCGACATCGGGCTTGATGGCCGATATCTCCGGGCACAGCTCTTCCGCGCTGGAATCGCCAGCCAGCGTGGTGCACTGGGAGAGGGATGAGGCAGCTTTGGTGATATCCGTGTGCTCCAACTCCTGCTCCGTAGTGGCCGGCACAGACATGGCTGTGGACAGGGGCGCCAAAAGACAAAATGTCCAGGTCTTGAGCCAAGGCACCCTGGAGCCGAAGCCATGCTACTAGCACCACAAATGCTGTCATTAGTGGCTCTGAATCCTGCACGCACATTTGATGTACTGTTTCCTTACCCGGGAAATATTCACCGCTTGTGCGCGAAATGCATGGAACCACAGCAGCAACGAGTCCGGCAGATGACAAGCCGCTTTGATTGCCCTTGACTTGAGGGAATGATCTTCGCATGATCTTGTTGTAGGCTCCGATCCTGATACTGTAATCCCAGTACCTCGGGCATACTGTTCGCTGTGCTTCCTTGCGCCAAGATGCCGTACTGTCTTCGTCTCTGATGAGAGCCTCAACTTCAGTCCGGATATCATCATCCTGGTCGAAAGAAGACACTTGTAACCACCCAAGCAGCTTTGGGTACAATCGTAGCAGGAAGCCTCCGCGAGTATCACGAACCCAGGGTTCCAAGAGCACCCTGCTTCACACAGCGCTGAGAAAAGCCCTGAAACTCCTTATCAAGGAGCAAGGGGTCCTCGACGCTGTGCTTGCGGTGGATCTTGTGGATCATGGGCTTTATCGTTGCCAGGTCGTGCAGCCCGTGCCTTGGAGATGCTTGGTGCAAGACTCTTCGCAAGGCTTCTTGAAAAGGAAGTCGTGAACAAGTTGACAAGGACAGGGCGTCAACGATAAGCTGCGCTCAGTCTCAATGCTCTAAGAATCACTGAGACTGTAACGAGGGAACATAGCACGTGTACTCAACAAAAACCGAAAGTGAGATCGGGGGGACGCCCTCGCAGCGATGGTGCCTAGTTTATTGAACTGTAGACGCCGAACCTCGTCCTACGTGATTCGGGAGGCGAGCTGCTCGAGATTCGAGCTCACCTGCGCGATCCTCTTCATGTCCTTGGCTATAAAGGCAGCGGCAGCAGCAGCAGCAGCAGCAGCGACAAAAAAGCATGAACATAACAAACAACATTGAGGTCAACATGATTCTCCTCGGCACCATGATTATCACCAGCATCATCACCACCAACCTCATCATCGTTATCATCATCATCACCAACTGTCTCGACATCAACATCATCATATATCATCATCACCACCATCATCATCATCGCTATCAACGCTATCATCCTACCATTACCACTGCCATCAGAACCATCGCGGCCACAACTGCTTCACCAGCAGCAGCATAAACAGTAACTGCGACTACCAGCATGAGACATGACTGGTACTGAAAGACCATGGCAGGCTTTCCGGCCCAAGACAGCCACTCCGAACCTCGAAACCCCTCTTCACAAGCCTGGCACTTCCGCTGCGCTGCGATGAATAAGCCACTAGGCACTGAAGCACAACCCCCGCATGAAGCGTGTTCGCCATGGTAACCATGAACCTCCCCCCCCCACTCTGCATGTGGCCATGCAGCCATCGCCCGGGCAGCCCCCCGAAGTCGCGACACACCATTCACCAGCTCCTTCGCAGGCTTTCATAACCCTTCTGGATGTGCTGCTCTTTCTGCGCTCCTTCCCTGAAATGCTACGGCCTGACGCATCGCGGGTAATAGCTTCTGATGAGGTCCGTTCTGAAGCCGGCTGTCGACAATGTGATGTGTCAGGCCAAACCAGTGGGCAGGGCTGTTGGCTAGGTGCTCTGAACAGGGCTGGCAAAAGGTGTCGTCGGGAACTGAAGAGCGCCCTTTTGGCTCATGTCATGGTCACACCGTTGGCTCCGGCAGCGTGCTGCCAGTTTAACAGTACTGCAGAACTCTATCCATAGCTTGGGATTGGCTTCCTCATGATCGCAACTCTAGAAGCTGGAGTGACCTCGGCGGAAAGTCGACCATCACCACCAGTGTCCAGCATGTCAAAAAGCTCCTGCGCTAGAAGCTTCATCCACTTGAAGGCACTAGCCTACAACAGAAAATCTGAGCCTCAACGTCGCTGACATCCAAATCCATCGCTGCCAGCCAAATCTTCACTTCGTAGTGCTGCAAAACAGTCTTGAACCTTCACGAAGGGCACGCATTTGAAGCGGATGGAGAAGCTCAATGTTACAACCTGGTTATTTCAAGGCACTCTTCGATGTCCAGCCGTCCGTCGCCGGAGGTGTCAGCATCATGGAACAAAGCCGACATCTTTGAAACATGCGTCCGCATGGCCCGCTGCTTCTCGCGGACCATCACGGTGTCATCCATGTGGGCCACCTGCTTTTGCCACACTCGGTCATTGGCGCGACGCGACACTTCGTGCATGTCTCCAGGCCGTCGACGGCACAAGCCAAGCAAAAACATCCTATCTGTTGCTCGCCGGATGCCTTGAATGTTTCTTGCATGAGAACGCCGTTTATGACGCCGACCACAGCGAAGCCCATCGTCAATTTGTGGAACAAGCCTCAGTACCACGGGCAACCATATGCATCTGAGGGCAGAGAAAGAACAGCGGCATGGTTGTATTGTATTCCTCAAGCCGCACGGCAAGACGAGAGGCAGAAGATCATCCACCACTCGCTGACTTCTTCCATCAGCAGGCGACAAACGGGAGGCCAGTTAGCCAGAGTCATCTCCTGGGTTCCCGTTTTTTGCTTCGGAACCGCTAAGCCGCTAAGCCCCCAAGATGAAGACAAAAGAAGCACGGCGCCCCCAGTACTTGAGAAGCAAGTCTCGAAGAGCGACAGCAAGGCACGGGTGAAGGTGCCAAAGTATTCCTGGGTTTCAGCTTTTCGGCGGATCTGGAGACGACCAAGAGTGGCATCCGCTCATTTATTCGATTGTATTCCTCAGGGTACGTTTCGGGGAGGCCCCTCACTCTTTTGGGGCTCGGGAAGAGCCATCCCTCGACGAGGGACTTCAATTACACAGGTTAACAGCTCAGCTGTTCCTTCTCAAAAGGACCCGAAGACTAATATGGGGGCATTATGCTCTTATAATGATAAGGAACCCAGGGCCTGTCGTACCTCACCGAGGGGCAAAGACACGCAACTGTGTCTCCTTCCCTGCCGCGTCGGCGTTCTCGTCGAAGTAGAAGCCTTGCGGCGACATTCGGTGCACTTTTGCCTGTTGTTGGTCCCTGCTTAAGTTTGAGCTGGGGTAAAGGTAGGTATTGTGCGAAGTCGCGAAGAAGCACAGTGGGAATTCAGGGCTTGTGTTGGTCCTGCACAAAGCTCGAGTCGAAGCGCGGCAGGCTGCCGACAGTGGAATCCATCAGCCCCTATGCATCTTCGTGTTCACGTTCATAGTGTTCCTCTTCTTCTTCACCATTGTAACCATCATTCTCATCGTCATCATCGTCATCACCGTCACCATTCTCCTGTAATCGTCCGCGTCGTCGTCGTTGTCGGCGTACATGGCCATTATGACCAGTGTATCTTCATGCATATCTTCAGGTCAACCAGAACCTGGCCACAACCATAACCATAACAAACATACTCACACTGTGTCACACTGCATTGAATGACTGATTAACGGCCGGCATGCTCGCCGGTCACCATGTCAGCATATGTGAACGCTGGTAGCTGGTAGCTGGCACACGTCCAACTGAGCATCGAGAACGGCCGTTAAGCCAGCACAACAACTGAAACCGGCAGCATTGAGAACCTTAAATTCCCAAGGGGCCGTACAGGAATTGCTGGACGATCAAGGCGAAGAGCATCTGGCAGACGAACAACCTGCAATGCTCCATGCAGCCAAGACGGGCATGCAAACCTCTCCGTGGACAAACCGGGACCGTACGAGCACGATCGGGATTGCGCTTAAGGCTGAAGCAAACGTCCACCAAAGAGTAAACACTCGGACGGGCCCGGCGTCCTGACATGGCCCCCGGAGAAAGCAGAATGCATGGGCGAGCCGCAGGGCGATCGTCCACCCAAGGACCATGAAGCTGCTTCGAATGGCGGTGGTCATCAAGAAAAGAGCATCGAACTCTTTCCTGAGTGCCGTGTCTAGACTGTGAGTGGGGGGTCGTGTCCTCTCAAAGCTGAAAAGCAGCTTGCTGAGTAAGAATTGGATCAGCTCGCATGCTTGGCTTGAGGGACATTTGGATTTGGGAAATGGGATGCCTGTGTAGATGGTGATTCCAGAAGCAGCTCAGCGTTCAATGAACGAAGTTTCAAAACCCAATCCCTCACTACTTAAGCAGGGCTCATCCGACGCACCAGGCGCAGCATGCGAAGAAGGCGGAAGAGACGGCCGAGCCGCAATATCTGACCTGTTGGAAGCGATTTCTGGTGCCGTTGCAGCTTCTGTTGCCACTCTCCCTGTTAGATCCTCGGGCCGTGTGTGAAGTGCGGGGGGGCTCTCGAGTGCCCAAACCCTGCTGACGCACGACGTTGGCCCGTTGGCCTGATATATATATATATATATATATATATATATATATATATATATATATATATATATATATATATATATATGTGTGTGTGTGTGTGTGTGTGTGTGCGTGTGTTTATATTTACATGTATATATGTCTATCCGAAAAAGTAGACATACTGAAACATACTGAAGTGAAGACTGAATTGAGAACGTAATTGGAAGCAAAAGCCACTGTTCACCGGAAGTGTTCTCCAGATCTTCCCAAACAGCCATACCTGAGTCTTGTGCACACTAGGCTTTGGAGCTTTCGCGTTGATGTTGCTTACCGGGCTTGTGTGTGGTCTAGACAGGCCCTGCTCGTACTGGTGGCTGGATGTGGCTGAGTTTGCGGTGCAAGGCTATCGGAGATGTGCTAGGGTGCGAATCCAGATACCTCTTCGACATAGGCCTGGGACATTTACCATCACTATGGATGAGGTTTGGCAAGCATCGGTGTCTGTTACATGAAACCGTCGCAAGCGAAAGGCTTTGGTCTCCAGAATGAGGACCGTCGACTCGAAAGTGAGTTCAACCGCTTTCCCAGGCTCACTGCTCCAAGGTACAACGACCACAGTGGCATCGAGCCAGTTCCAACCTTCTGCGAAGAAATGCAGACGCTCGGCATAGAGCCGCAGTACCACCTCAGGCAGGGTGGCCACCAACTCGAGACTGAGCATGCGCTGGCCATGATCATGCCTCGAGTTCTAAGACGAAGAAGCCTTTCAGCCGACCTCAGAAGCACCATGACTCTGCGTGGTGCCTCGATCGTGAAAATGATGCCGAAGAACATCTCGATCACAGGAAAGACGTCTTCAGCACCTTCTATGCAGCCGATGGCATCCGCACCCAGAATGCTTCTCAAGACGCTCACGACTCTCATCTCAAGACGCGACGCTGGCGACCAGTCGCTAGTCTCGAACAGGCCTGGCCACAGCTCGTGGGCAGTCACAGAGATCTCGTCGCGTTTGAATCCCAGCGCCTCTCAAAGCCGAAACTTGAAGACTCGTGTAGAGGCGCCTGTAGGAACCAGGATCTTGGGATCCAATTTTTTGACCCCACGCAAGAGGTCTGCGAGTTGCGGGGTTGTGGCGTCTGAGTCTGGGCGAGCATGTTGAGCCTACTCATGGTGTCATGCCTCGGGAGTCACACAACTGAAGCTCCCTAACAGACATAACGGGCACGCCACAGGGACCGAGCTCAAAAAGTTGCGACTACCCTAATCAGCCTCGGCCATCTCGAAGCCCCTATACCTGCAGAGCGCACGGAGGACATCGGTGGGACAGGCTGAAATCGAAAGAACCCTCTTCTTTACACTTGCCCTCATGCCGTTGCTGTTGAGGTAGGGGGCAACTAAGGAATAGAACAATATCAACCCGAACTATGTTCCTATGGTTTTTGGCCATTGTAGCAGTTTCTGAGCTCCCGAGCATCTCCGGAATTGCATATATCCTCATCTGGGACTAAAAATGGGGGGACCCTGAGGCGATGAAGCCCTTGACAGCTGTATGCTTTGACAAAGGGAGAGCGAGAGAGAGTGTGTGCGAGAGAGAGAGAGAGAGAGATCGTTCTCGGCGAGATGCTGAGCTTCGAAAGCAAAGACCATGGCGTTGCAGACGATCAGGAAGCTCATGGTGCAGTCAATGGCCGGGTGCCTCACACTTGCACTCGGAATGCCCTTCTCTAGTCTTGTCATGAAACCACTCCACCTACTGCATGCGTTGTATGCCCGCGAAGCAAGAGTACGTCTGGCTGCTGCCAGAAACTAAATGGATGCCAGGAGGCCGGAGAATACGCTGCAGGAAGCTCCGACAGTCCCCGTCCCACCTGCCCAGCAAAGCAAAGCAAGCGCGTGGAACTATACGATTGTGCTGACCAGTCCTCTCAGCTAGATCTTTACGGGCCGCACTCATACTCTGGCAATGCTGACTCCACTTGCAAGGTTTCGCGGTGATACAGAGACTCCTACACTTTTGCTTAACCATCCCTCTGGACCCGGCCTCCAGGAAGACTGGCTGTGTTTCTTGTGCACTTGGTCAAGCACCGACGCAGACTTCTTCGCTCTGATGTTGCCCACGTGCTTGGACTTACCTAGCTCCCAGCCCTTCTCATTCTCTTGATTGTTGGAGTCCGCAAAAGACCTCGTCCGCTTTTGGTTGCTTGCCGCGGAATTCAGGGAAGTTGGCAGCCCGCTCTCCCCTCGATCCTCCTCATGAATGTTCATCCCCTGTGACTCCGCCACTGCCTCCGCCATCTCCATCACCTCTGCATCTGTCTGCTTCTGCAAGAAGGCTGGTGCCTGCATCTCTGTCTGAAGCCTCTGGCTCTGTAAACTCAGCACCTCCTCACGGAGTCGCTGCACTTCACCCTGGTGGAACATGCGCAGCTGTCGGAGCAGCTCTTCGAAGGGGTCCATGGAATTGGCCCTGGCCCTGCCGAGGCCTTCGGCCGCAGCGTCTTCGATGACATGTCCGCTGGAAGGTCCCATTGAGGCGCTGATCCTGGTGCTGGCAAGGCTTTCTGCCATGGCGCCGCAAATTGAAAAAGAAGCAGCAGTGCGTCAACCAAGCATAATGGCATGAAAAAGGCCAATCACGCCGAAAGCATAAGAAACAGTTGACTGCTGAGCTTCGCCTGTTGCTGCGGCTGCATAAAAAATCATCAAATCTTGAAAACCACTCTTTCAGATATTGGAGCCTCATGCGAAACTTGCGCGGAGGTGGCAAGCTGGCAGAACACAGCCGACTTCGGGCGAAGTGACACGAAACTCCTACTGTAAGCACTCCTCCCACAATACCAGCCAATCAAACCGAACAGCACGTCCGAAGTCAGCACCGATGAAACGACTCAAAAGCATTGAGCCGAACAGGAAGCATTGAGTTGGCCTCTCTACGTGAACTTCCGGCCTCACCAGCTGAGCACATTTCTCGGCCAGTCCGGTCGAGTCGACATACTCCTCGACAGTGGGCCCATTGGTTTTTGCTAGGATGCCGACAACCAGGGATCACGATGTCAGAGAATACAGGGGGGTCGAGGTATCAGTGTGGAACGACACCACCTGTGATCAGCAAAACGACGGATTTGTAATGCACTGCACCTTACCGCACCATGAATTAGCCAGCCAACAGTTTCCAAACACGTAGGAAATGCATACATGCATACACCCAGACGTCCAAGCATCTATCCATCCGTCCATCCATCCATGCACTATTTAACCAGGCAAATACACGTCCAGGAAGTTATCTTGCAGCGCTCTCCTCCACATGCTCCGCTCCGCATCGAGGAGTGTCTTCCAATATTCCCTCTGCCCTACGATAACATACTATGACATGCTGTAATACACGTCACATACAAAAGCATACTGGAATATACGGAACGATATTATCCGTAACATAGTGTCTACGACAACCCCATTGGAATCCCGAACAGCAGAATGGCTTTCGTTGGGCTCACATTAGCACCAGAAAAGCTAACAGAACTATAGATGGGTTGTCCATGCCCGGCCGTGCGTTGAACAGAAGATTATGATTCGAGCTGTTTTTGGGTGGCTGCCCGGAACCTGCCCCGGAACCTGCCATGGGTCTTGCCCCAACCTGCGCCAAACCTTTCAATTTCTGAAGAGCCCAGAGCTCACGCTGTTGGGACGTAACGTATTACAACCTGACACAACGAAGAATACCCTAGCATTCCTAACCTGCGTTAAGGGTCCCGTACTCTACATAGCACGGGCTCCCATACGTCCTCTGCCAGCTCCAGGAGCTCCACCGCCACCTCAGGCCTTCAAATCGCAGGCGCAGAAGTACCTAATACTAATACTGCTTCTTTTTTGGATAAGGGTATAACATATACTCTTGTATACGATAGTATACTATAGTACATTGTACTACATTATACTATACTTTCCTGAACTAAAAACTATTATCGTATATGATAGCTTGCTCTAGCACTGTATAGTATGTTATAGTATAAAATACTGCTTCATAGTATGCCCTAGTATATACAACTTTTCATTTTATGGTTACAGTATGACAACCAAAGCTTTCATACTTAAGTCATAGATCTCTGCAGGAGGAGGTGGAGGTATACAGATAGAGGTAGAGGCCTAACATAGGTATAGGTGTCGTATTGTGCTCTCTAGTATATTACAACGGAATTCAGAATCTCGTCTATAGTTTCTTCTAGCATGTTACAGTCTGTTAGAGCATAAGGGGATGTCGGCGTTCGCAACTTCAGACAATCCTTGTTTAATTTTGGGTTTCTACGGCTTTTGTAGCTTGGCTTTTGCCTCCTGGATTTTTGCATCCTACTTCGCATACGGGGTTCAGGGGCCAGCAAATACTCCAATGAAACCTGCCAGCTGCTTCGTCGCTGCCACCTCCAATCCGCCTCTGTCTCGTGAATTGGCACGGGGTCGGCTGTCAACAGCTTATTCAGCACTCCCACAGACTCCGAAAGTAAGCTTGGCAGCAAGGTCGCCTGCAGTCCACTCGATCCTCGTGGAGATATTGGCCATACGCAAGCAGCGCCTGGCGAAGGACAAAGCTGCAGAGAACTTCCGATGCCTAAACAGGCCCTGAGTTTCCTTCACGTGACGAGATGCATGGACTTCAAGAGCTGCACAAGTACTATACGATGCTTCAACACGAAACCGGCAGTTCCCAGGTCGGCTTGCCTCATAGGAGTACTTGTGTATCCGCACTGTGTAGCGACCATCCTCCCAGGTGACACAGCTGGGCAAAGAAACCCAGGGAGGCACTTTTTAGCACTCGCACTCGACGCATCAGGCGAGGTTTGGTGTGAACTGAGTTAGTTGTCCTTACAACAACACACTTCGATGCTCCAGCATCCCTAACTGCAGTTCCATGACGTGCCTAAGACAAAGATTACCTGCGGCTTGGTATGTCGAGGTTCAGTTGACAGCACCCCTGACAGCAAATCATGCTTGCAGCGTCACGGTCCTGGTTCTGCTGCTTGAATTTATCAGCATGTGCACTGACACGCTCATGCCTACTCATCCTCTCTTGCGTGTGCGAAACTCCGCTAGCCATCCACGCAAAGCCCCAGGTGCGACTGTTCAGCACGAAAGGTTGTAAGGCAACAGCGTGCAGGGTCAGGATGTTGGTGCACGCCAGATCGAACATGTTGCTGAACAGGAGTCGAGTGGGATGCCCTATGCCCGACCACGAGCTCAAATGCCGGTCCTCGTGCCGGGTGACGTTGCCCTTGCAAGGGCTCTCCAGAAGCCTGAAGGCTTCAAAACCACGCATGAGACACGGAGTTCGCTACCGTCTTCACTCTGGGATGAACTCGACTGGATCCCGAGCTCAGCAGACCTGCCTCCACAAGTACTGAGAGCGGACCTTGATGGTATCCAAGCCCACCTGCAGCGCAGCTTGCTACGCTCCAGCGTCCAAGATCTGCAGTCTGCTACACCTGTCTGCCACACTTCGGTTCAGCCGAAACCCGACAGTACAGGCTCTGCAGAAAAGGCGACGGCATGCACAGAGAAGGTAGGCGAGTCGAACTTCTTAGCCTGGCAGCAGCGCGATGCTCTACATGTGATAAAACATAAGACTCATGATGTACACAGGACAAGGTGACATAGCATGACACTCGAACAGATATCACTGATACTACAAGAGCGTGCTGCAAAAAAACATGGCACGGCACAACACAAAGTGGTTTGCCGACCTGTTTGCTTCTCCGATAACAGACATTACGAACGACGACGGTTTCTGTTCATGGCATAGGCTTTGGCTCTCCTGCATGCAATGGTTGGCACTATGGGTCTTGGTTGCGGGTTCAGCTCTGGCAGTCTCCGAGCCGGGGGACAAGATCAGCCTATGACGGCCCTGGACTCTGCTAACGTCTGGCTGTGCAAACCTGACCTGCCGAGCAGCCGCAAGCATGCACAAGCACTTAATAGAGGGATTTCACGCGCTTTTTCATCAAGCGAGGTCACGAGCCCCGCCCCTCAAAATCCGCGAACTCATCCACCTCGCACAAGGACTACAAGGGGTCAGGGTCTGGATGGGGCTTTCTCTCAGCACCAGGCAACACCTGAACGGGCACGATCAGCCATCAACAGCAACACAAAAGTCTGTGCGCGCCTCCTCTACCGCCACGACAGGACCGACCTTGTCGCGGAGCTGCTGCAGAATCGCCCTGGTCAGCATAGCATGTGCATTGGTCTCCTGCAATCCGGACACATGGCTGCAGCCGGGTTCCGACTGCGACCGCTCACGCAAGGGGCAGCTCACCGCACATGCCCACAACCACACTGCCCAAGCAAGCTTACAGAAAATTACCGGAACCAAGGCCTAAAGACTTGGACGTTGTGCTCCTTGAGTTGGATGCCTGGCCGGCATCAACTGGGGTCGTGGAGCCATGCAATGATCGCGACGCACATTGGCAGCAGGTGATCTTGCGCACTAATCGGCAACACTGCGTGCACCCTGACATGACTTCTGTCAGGCTATGAGGAAACAGCAAAAAACTACCATGCCGATAACAAAGGACAGACCGGTCACGGCAGGAATTTCCAAAGTTCTACATATGCAAGATCACAACTTTGACAAGAAACCGCTTGCTATTGAGCGTCGCTTCTGATGTCACCTGTTGATCAAACGCCCCGGGGCCTAATAGGATGGGCTTCGAAGATTTCTGCGCCACCACTTCGATGAGAGACCGTGCGATTGCCTGAGCTCCGGGGAATGCTCTTCGGTCGAGAAGCTCCAATTCGAAGAGCGGGTGCATTCATAGCCGGAGCTCTTTGTCGGTTTGCAAGGGCCCAGAACCTGAACCCTAAGCAGCAAAGAAGAGTTGAAAGTTTGCCCATAGAATTTGTCCGTTTCTTCCTCTCTGCGCCGCCCTCAGAGAGACAAGGTGTTGAAATAGAAATCTTACTCAGTACTTAGATGTATTGAGTGTCCAGGACCCTGCAAATAACCGCAGGTTTTGAATGCTATATTGCCTTCTACCTAGAAAGGACGATGCCCGCATTGCAGGGATAAAGTTGAAAGCGGCTTCGGTGACAATCTGATTGCAAACAATGAATTGTGTCCAGGCAACGTGCACCACCACCCCCCGGAGATTCGCTCCATATCCTCTGCTTCAAACCCTACCTACCACACCCCCTCACCATTCGCAACTTCAACTCTGCCATTGCAGTTCGGGAAAGATTTGAATCAGCAAGTTCAAAAGGTCTCCGAAGTGGAAGGTATCCGTGATCTTTCAACCACAGACCCGAGCCCTGCACAAACCTTTCCGGATAACCCCTCGAGCCGAAGCCCTCTGAGCTCTGAGTGGAGCGGCTCTGTAATGCTCTGCCCGCCGATCTCCGAAGATCACCTCGCAGCACAATGCCTACAATGAACCGGACCTAACCTGCAGTTGGTTCTGACTCGACTGTCTGTTGTCTGTCTGTCTCTCTGTCCAGGTGTCAACCGCTGGCTCTGTCTCTCTGTCTGGGTGTCTCTCTGTCTGTTGAGGGATAGGGAGAGCGAGAGAGAGAGATTGAGAATTGAGCACGTTTGTATAGAATTAAAGCCTTGTTCCGCAGGGACTCGACTGCTGCCCCTGCTGCTATGCCTTGCAGCATTGAGCTGGGCATCTGGAATCACTGGAATCACTATCAACACAAACTCTCTGCTCAACTCTTGATTCTCTCATCAGAGACTACAAGATACGAGTTAACCTTGGAGCCATGTACGTGGGGTTGCCTACCAGTTGACGGGGATGAGTTTAAAGCGATGCATTCTTTGTGTCGTCGCTGCTTCATTCGAACCCTGGCTGACATGCTCATCCATGTTCTTCCACTTCGCTTCCGCGCTGACCTCCTCACTGTGGGCCATGCTTGATCCAGCCTCACCCCATGCATTCCCAAACAGAAGACGGCGAAAGGGACGAGCTGCTTGCGGAGCCCTGTACGAGATCTTGCGAACGGGCCTCTGCTCGCGGAACTGGCCAATCACTTCGTCAAAACGACTTCTTGCAGGTTCTTCGTGAGCTGTTCTAACTGGCATCGGGTGTTGATCTCTGTCTCCGTCTCGCGACAAGTACCTCATATATGGAACCTGAACTCTATATTTACCGTAGCTATTATTTACACCTAAATTGCCTTGACTTATCTAAGGCTTGTCCTGAACCGCGCCCAAATGTTCACAATCAGGTCTGCGAACAGGTGTATCTATTACCGCAATCCCTACTTTGTAGGGCGTGTTTGACATTAAAAACAAAATTTTCACTAAGATCTTCGCCGCACGAGGGTGTGGGCTCCGGGAGCACAAGCTCCTCCCATCTTACTGCAATGTAGGGGGCCTAAACAAATTTTAGGGGCTCCTTCTTATAGCTATAGTATTATGTAGTGAAGTGCGATTTTGGGATTCTAGGCACCTGGACGTCATAGGTGCGCTCACCTCTGGCCAGACCTGCTAAAATCAGGTCGCTGGGTCCAAGCTCAGACTTTCGGGATCAGTCGCAAGTTATACTGCCTCACACAACAGTCCCAAACTACAAACGACGGTGCCGGCAAACCTTACCTCATTTCGGCAAAGAGCTCTTCCGTCCTAAAGCAAGCGCATCCGAGAAAGCAGCAGAAATCCGTGTGAGCGGTCTCTCGATGTGCCTCCTAAGTCTGCCGTGTCGCCGGAGTTCGGCGCAGAGGCTGTGGCCTTCGCGACACTCGAAAGCTCAAGCTCACGTGCTCTTTTTTCTACGTGGCTGAGACCGAATCGTGGGTTTCAAAACTCGATGACGGCCTGGGTTATCTTCCCACATGAGGGGGTTGAGCAGAAATATCGGGACGAGTTTAGCGCTGCGAGTGATTTGTTTGTCGATGTTTAGGGATGCATTCGGGCCTCGTCTTGGACTGGTGTCATGCTAGGGTTGCCTGCAACGAATCCATGGCGTCCAGTGGACCCCAATGAGACGCCCTTAGGTATGCTGAAATCGCGAAAGGTCTGACATCTAATCCCTGCGTCACTTCAGGCCAGTAAATAAACTGCTGAACCTCTGCCCTGGAACCCCGAATTCAAGCAACGAAGCCCCAGCACTACGAAGTGCAAGCGGGCTCCTGAATGAGCGAACCAATCTTGGCATTCTGCGTGATCAAGAAAAACAGCTCCGAGCCTCGCACGTGCTTTCAAGATCTAGAGATCGACAAGAAACACAATGTGGCTGATCGGAGAGAACGGATTCGTGCTTGGCACCCTGGGGTGTAGACTTGTGGATTTACCAGCATGCAGGAACCTGTTTCTTTCAAAATGACCCTTCGCTGCCCCAGGATAAGACGGAGAAACTTCCGATTTCGACGGCCTGAACCAGAGAACTCGCCTCGGCACCTCACAGCCTGGTCTCCTGGGCAACCCGGCCATAGTCGGTAATGACCTCAGCTTTCAGGGGCTTGGCCCATTTCGGATTGGGACGAATACTCTCTCTGCCTTCAACCTCAGCAGCCCGGTACAAGAGTCTCATACGAGCGAACCCCAAGAGCAGTCAGCCTTGAACGGCTGGAAACTTGAGGTCCGTGGGATGCCATCTGACACCGGGCAATTGCGGATTTTGACGACAATTATGATCCTCCTCCTCCGCCTCGTCATCATCATCCCCATCATCACCATCATGTTGACGATCATGCCTATCATTTATATCTCAACGTCACGATTGTCGTTGTCGTCGCTAGTGTCATAATCGCCGACATGAAGCCTTCCGAGGCCTTCGGCACTGCAACCAAGCGGCAAAGCTCGTCGCTGCACCCTCGATCTCAGCTTCCTTAGCTGCTCAGCTCGTCTCTCGAATGTAACGATCTACGGTTGATGAGATAAATCCTGCATTACCTTAAGGACCCTAAACTATGGGAATGATGGCATGTTCCTTATTGTGGGTAATGCAGGATTTATATCATCAACAGTATGCCCATGTATCTGTCTGCAGGTCTCTTTGCTTTGCCTTGGAGGGTGAGGCTCCGGCAGTTCTCTCTTGCTCGGGGTATGGGGAAGGCTGGGAAGGATCCCTGGCCCCATGAGGCTCCGTCCCCTTCGGGGGTGTGAGTGCGCTCCCCTGAATGAGCCTGCATGACCCCCGCCCCCACCCCTCCTAAACCATAACGCAGAACCAGAGCTCCTCAGGTCTCACTCAGGTCATCCGCATCTCACGGGACAATTTCATGTGGGCGACAAGCCTCTTCTTCCGCAGGGCTTGGGGAGCGTGTTAAGCCCCCCGGCCTCATAGGCCCCCCATGTGTTATGGGGCTTGTGGAAGGGTGTGACAACACAGTGAGTCCCCCTATGTGCAGAAGGTGTATATTTGGACTCTAGATTACCAGGGCAAGCCTCTCTCTCTCTCTCTCCCTCCCTCACTCCCTGCCTGCAATTCGGTACAGGTGAAATCCCGTAGAGATGTCGGAGCAGCAACACTTTCGGCACAAAATGCATTGAATCTCGAGATACCGAAATATCGACACACACTACCGCTGTTCGCAGCAGCTTGTTGGATTTTTTGGTACCTCAGGGCTTCTTGAGGTCTCGAGTTCCTCTAACTTAGGGAACCCGACGGCCGTCCCAAGCACAAGCGATCAAGGTTCCCATTGGTAGGACTCGGGAGGTCCGGCTGGCCGCGCCGCCATCGCAAGTGAAGTGGCCAGAAACGCCAACTGTGAGGAAGTAGTATAGGGGCCCGAACAATTGCCAATACTATTTTGGGGATTCCTTATGATAAGTTGCGCCACATGGGCCCCCAAAACCTCAAGGCCCCGAGATGTCAGCTTCCAACATCCGAGTTGGGCCACTTTTGGCAACAATATGAATATCCGGAACCTCGAGACGCAGTCTCTCGAGCTCCACATTAGGACACATCTTCAGAGAGGTGTCGTGAAGGAACCTAAGGAAAGCTCTGTTCATGATGCTGCAGGGCTCACGCTTTTTGCGTTGAGAATTTTGGTCTGAGCCATTGAAACTGACAGTGTTGGTCGAGTCACAAAACTGAGAGCAACGAAGCCAACATGCATTTACAGAGACAAAACAAAAACCAGCGCGGTCGAGCCTCACATACCAGCATCAAACCTCCGAGAACGAAGCCAGCACAACCCGAATGCAAACCCCTAAGCCCTCAACCCTTCTTGTCTCGAAAGGGCTGGTTCTTCCCTCAAGCTCCAAGCCCAAAAGCCAGAGTTTTGACAAGCCTTGGCTGCGTCTACCACCCCGGGGCTGGGCCCCGCAGACCCACCTGCGCACAAGTCTGACAAGACATGTTGTGAAACAAGGAGTTTGAGATAGTTTAGGCACACGACTGACGAGGGCTGCCTGTAAAGAAAGAGAAATCGAAGCCTAGACCAAAACCAAGTCCGAAGTATTCAAACTTTTCTGGCGCTGACTCCGGGCTACGTGGCAGGCATGAAGCTTTTTCGAATCCTTCTCTGCGAATTCTGGGACCCCGGCCGGCGTACTCCTTGATCACATCTTGTGGTGTCAAAGAGCCCCCCTGGAACCATCATGAGTTGGGTTGAAGCCGGGTCGATCCGAGGCTTCTGCAACTTACCAATTTCTTCGTTGTCAAAGCTGTCGCTTCGCTCTACATCTATTTTACAGCACATCTTGTTTGGAGATTCCTTCGGCCAGGAGAATCTCGACTCCCGGCAAAGGCCGCACGAAGCGAGTGATATTGAACAACTGAAGTCCGAATGGGGGAAGTGTATAGAAGTCAAAGATCAAAGTCGGCGGGGAGGTGCGGCGGCTCTTCACAGTTGCGCTGTGGACCGTCTGTCCAGTGGGCAGATTGCAGATTACCTTGCTTGACCACATTGGAAGCCCCCGGAAGTGTTCCATAAGCTCACTACCTCCTGTTACGCAAGGTGCTTCTGACGGTCTGCTGCTGTAGCCGGCTTCATGAGTAACAGTTTGTTACGCAGCTGCGATTATCACTATCATTGCCGGTATTGAGAGTCTACTCGTCAGACTATATAGTATCTACTGCCGCGCTATTGCCGCACTCTTGCTGGAGGCCGCCTCCAGTGCTTGATGAGTCAAGCGCCGCAGGCTGTCCACGGCTAAATGCCGTTCCAGCAGCCGACAAGCATAAGCCTCGGTTCGACGGAATGGGACAATCGCAGCTTTCTGGGAGCAGGTTTTGTGTGACCGTTGTGGTGAAGTACAATGTGGCGCTTGCAAGCATGGCCGCGATACATAGCTGAGATTTGAAGTGCTGCCTTTTCTCCAGGCGGAGAGTGCGACGCAAAGACGTCTTGACACAGTCTTGGAAAGCTCCAGCTACTGCCACAGCACACGATGACAACCCGAGTCCTCCCTTGGCTGCTCTGCATGGCAAGATCCCTACAGGACACACGGAAGCTGTGGAAGCTACGTGTATCTTTGTGTGCATCCGTCTGTGCGGGGAGCTCTGGCAGGCGTAGGGCCTAGGGGCCCTAGGCTTTCAGTCTCGTCGTCCTGGCCCCAACCTTCGCCCGGCACATCCTGAACCGACGAAGAGCGCAGCGGGCTGGGAAGCTGGGGCTCTTGCTCCATCGGGTTCGGGCTCCTCGGCCTGTCGGGTGTGGGCCCGAGGAGGGCGGACAGCTTCACTGGTTTCTGACTTCATGCCTGTTTGCACTCCTCTGCACTGGATTTCGCTAGCACTAGTAGTACTCGACGTCTGATCTGGATATCTCTGCCATTTTTAGAAGTGCACTTTGCTGATTTTCGTTGTTACCATTATGGGCGTGGCTCCTCTCTTTGGCAGTATCTGGCAGTGCTTGTCGTGGTGCCGGCTGGGGACGCACGGGGTCCCTGAGACCTCAAAACCACGGCCCCTTGAAGACCCGCCGCGAAACCATGGGTCGATATTCACAGACAGTCGGTCCGAGAATTTGGCGGCCTCCTGCGCTGCAACCAGCTCAACTGTGCCGACCTCCGCGTGCCGACACGGAAATTCAGCTCGCATTTGCGGCATTCCGATCAACTCTGTTGATTGAGCATGTTCCCGAATTCTCCCTGTCGTGCTTAAAAAACAGATAGGTTTGTATTATGCTGGATCACTACAAGCGGAGAAGCATAGGCAAAGGGCTTTGCGGACTTACCCAAGTTTCTACATTGGCCTTGAGCTCCAAACCAGAGCCCTCCAGAAGTCCAAAGTCCACGACTCCCGGGAGTTCCCCGAGTCTACTCTGTCACGCAGGCACCGCGCCTTGGGATCGTTGAACCCCGGTATGTACACCTTCAATAGGCAAAGCGAGTCTTCCAAACCGTCGAAGAACATGTCTCGCTCAACGGTGCAAGTGACCCGCAAAATCCAAAGCGGCCTGGCTAGTGCTGTGCTTCATGCACACGATGCGGTTCTCGATCATGATCGCATCCCTCCACGCGGCACCATCGACATGGGCTGCGCAACAGTTCGTGTGTCTGCCTGCGTCTATACTGCGCTTACCAGTGCAGCAAGACACATTGCGCACTCTCGGCAACCTGCAACCCGTGCCAAGCCTGTCGTATGGCAGGAAATGCTCAATCAGCCCGGCTGTGTGAAAAAGACTGCCGGCTTCGCCGCAGATGAAGAACCTGACAGGGCAGTAAGATTGACCCATGCACCACAAGGAGCCTAAAAGGCAACCCGCAAGCCCCGACCGGACTGGAAATCACAGAGATCCCAACTGGAGGCCTGAAGAGAAACACAGGGGCCCCTCAATCTAGAAAAAGAGGGAACCCGCCCGGGGCATGCACCTGTTCTCCTTGGTCAGCACCACTGAAACGTTCAGACTGGGGTGGCAGAAGATATCGACCGGCAGGCCGTTTTCGTGGCCTCACGCTGCTGTTTCGACTTGCACGCGCGCACCGGGCAAGCATGGCTTCGTGTCGGCTGAGCTTTGGGGCCATTTCGAAGGTTGCGGTTACAAGGCTATTGGGAGCAAGTTCTCAAGCCAGTCAGTCTGGCAGGCCGAAAACTAAACACACTCATTTGTGAGTTTACGAAAGCCATGGCACACTCCCGACACATCCTGAGAGCCCAGGCTGAAAGGAAGCTCCGTGGTGGTCACGCAGCCAGACACAGCACTGCTGAGCTGTCGCTGCCTTGCAGCTCTTGGGAAAGTCTTGCATTCGATCGCAAAAAGACGTCGGCAGTTTGCAGTTCCCTGTCCCTGCGAAGGCTACCAAGGCCTGGTGGGAAACAGCTCAATCATGCAGGGAAGACGCGTTCTGTCCGCAGCCGTATCTCGGCCATGGGTGAAAGGCTCACAGAACTAAGGGTACAAAGCATTCTTCGAGCAATGAAATTGGACTTAAAGGTCAGAAAGCCTACTACCGCGGTCTTGAAGCGAAGAGTCGATAACAGGACGAAAAGCCATTGTCTAGAATCCACACCTGTCTAAACCTAGACTTGAAAGAAGCTTCCAAATGTGACTTCGGATAAGGCTCCGGCAGCTGCCCGGTTGCTGTGAGGAAGAGCGTGTGCTTAGCACCACAGGCCAGGCGCACGCAGCGCGCACTTCCTGGCATTTATACTTAGAATAAGGTTTGCGGCCCGTTATACCATAATTATCATAAGGAGCCCCGAAAATAGTCTAGGAAATCGGCACGAAATTATGTCAGCTTCCGTGCCATCCAAGAGTCTTCCCAGCTAAAGACTGAGCAGCCTAGCTGCAGCGAGGACCCATCAGTGACAGGCCCGATTGCGAAGGCACCGCTGCGAGTACTTAGAATTCAATAGAGGGGTAGAAAACAACCCAGTCACATCATGAGCAAGACACGATATCTTATAAATACACACACAAACACGATCAGGACTTGCTCGCTCTCTCTCTCTCTCTCTCTCTTCTTCTTCGCGGCATGAAGGGTTGGAAGCCCCCACGGCCGCAAAGGCCCACTCTCTTTCTTTCTTTCTTTCTGCAGGGCGCGCGCGCCCCCCAGGCCTTAGGCCCGCCCAGCTCACCCCCTGTGTTATGGAGTGGCTGGCAACGGGGTCTTTCCTGACTAGAGTGGGCCTCTCTCTCTCTCTCTCTCTTTCTTCGCGGCATGAAGGGTTGGAAGCCCCCCCGGCCGCAAAGGCCCACTCTCTTTCTTTCTTTCTTTCTTTCTGCAGGGCGTAGGGGTCGCGCGCGCGCCCCCCAGGCCTTAGGCCCGCGCAGCTCACCCCCTGTGTTATGGAGTGGCTGGCAACGGGGTCTTTCCTGACTAGAGTGGGCCCCTCTCTCTCTCTCTCTCTCTCTCTATCTCCCGGCATGCGGATGCGGGACCCACTGCTGCGCACCGGGTCTGATGCGGGGCTGGGGGTGACACCCTCTCTCCTTCCCTCTTTCGTTTTAGGCGCATCTTGGAACTTGCCGTGTCTGAAAACCCTTCTCACGAGCCGGAAAAATCCAGGGCCTGGCATGTCCAGGGCTTGTGGCCATGGATTCACCCATGTCTCCGACCTGGCTTTGACAGCTCGGCCCCGGATGGCCCCGGAGGTTAAGGTCCCAATCGGGGCAGGTGCCGTGGTCCCTCGGCTTTCTGGCTTGCAGCAAGCAAGATTTTGCGCGCATCGGCGAAAACCAACTCAATTTCTGAACTCCGTGGGGAGTGGGGACTCAGTCCGGGCAGATATGTTGTCATCAACCTAACAGAACTTTGCACATGGAGCTTGCATGAGCTTTAGCTCGTTGAAGCCCTGGTGTAGAACTTGAGTCGGAGGAAACACCTTACGGATTACGGCACCAGATCACACTCGTAGTTCGAGGAGTTCGAAGCTTTGCGAACATGTTGTGATCAGTCCTCTTGCAAGCTCTTGCCGGCTACTCCGGATCCAAAGCTGTGGACGACTGTCAGCTCAGAGTCTTCGCTCACTGACAGCAAGATGCTGACGGCATTCATGCATCGCAAGGAGGATCATCCAAGTGCGCCGGAAAGTGCGGAAAGCGCTTTGCAAAAAGGTCCGAGATGAACTTCACTCGCTCCGCACCCTTCTTCGGGTCGGCTTTTCCTCAGCTTCCAAGCTCTTGTGGCTCTTGCGTGGGGTTGGGGACGTCACCAACAGCAACACTCCACACTATCAATGCTGCTGGACTACCCCTGTGTGCTTGGTGAAGATGATGCTCCTGTTTATGATTGCTAGCGTCAGCTGGTAGTTGCCTTTCTCGTGGGTGAATTCGATTGGAGCTGTCAGCTGTTGACACACGCAGGTTCTTAACTATCTGTACTGGCGTCGAGAGTTGCTGTGGTGGCGATGGTGGTCATGGTGAGTGGCAGGTGGCGGGTGGCGGTGGCGGTTGTTGTTGTTTTTGCACGGCAGCAGTAGCCGTGGCCGTGGCAAGAGCAGGAGCAGTAGAAGTGGCAATATAGCAGTAGCAGTGGCAGCAGCAGCAGAAGCAGCAGCAGCAGCGTTAGCAGTAGCAGCAGCAGCATTAGCAGTAGCAGTAGCAGTAGCAGAAGCGGTAGCAGAAGCGGTAGCAGAAGCGGTAGCGGTAGCGGTAGCGGCAGCGGCAGCGGCGGCGGCAGCGGTAGCGATAGCAGTAGCCGTAGCCGTAGCCGTAACAGTAGCAGTAGCAGTAAGTAGGGGGGCGTACTGGCAATGAGAAACAAATGAACAGTAACAGGGAAATTGCTGTCAACATTTGGACTACTATTACTGCACACTTTTCTGGCTTCTATTGCTTCCAGCCTTCTCATCTAAACTCTACACTCCGATGACACAGTCGAACAACTGCAGCAGCACTAGCACAGGACACGGGTGCGGACAAGTGCTGCCAGAGCAAGACGAAAAGCAAAAGTATGTAACAGCACAATCGTACTAGTACCGATCGTCGGTCGTAACTCTTGGTAAGCGGCCGTTCCAGAAGCTGGTTCCCGTGCCCTTGTCTGTCGTCTCATCGTACCTCATCGCATGGACCCGGGAGCACTGGGCTAGGCCAGCCTTCCAAAGAACAGAATTGAGCCCCATCTGCGTCTGAACAGCCGGCAAAAGGCGATCGAAGCTGGCAATATTGGTGGCAAGCCACGAAGTAAAAGACTTGAACCATTAACTGTCGTCTTTTCGACGCCCACTTGTCACCATATCCAGCCAAGCGGCTCCCGCACGCCAGTGCTCTCACAGACGTCGTTGTAGTTCTTGATACCTGTTCCGAGCACTAAAAACACTGGCTGATTCAAGCCTGTGAAGGTGGGTCTGTGACAGCCCGAACCAACTTTGGCAGCAAGGCAGGACTCTGACAACAAACCCCGCGCGCAACTACACCGCAAACGTTTTTATCTGAGGCACAAGTCTAGGCCCCGAACTGAAATCCAAAACTCAGCAGCAAGCTCTGGAACTCCACACCTCAAGCCCTGCCAACAGGACCCATGCATTTCAAAGTCACCCAAATCCCCCTAAACCCCCCTAAACTCCCCTAAACCCTTTTGCATCCAGGCCTCCTGTGGTGTTGCCGGGTTATCAGCGCACTTGCACCGAAGATACAAAGGAAACAGCACTCAACATATGCGACCCCACTAGCTCTCGTGGCTAGGTGATCACTTGCTGAACTCGGAGATAAGCATCATGATTCAACACGGTCAGAAGAAGTAGGTTGCCGAAGGACTGAAAAAGATCCACATGCGCAAGCTGTAGATCAGGCAAAAAGGCGTCGCAGTCATGCGAAGCTACGGAGAGTGAGATGACCCAGGCGGGATACTTCATACGAGCGAGAGCGAGCGCCTCACACAAACTCTGAGGCCTAAACCCTAAACCCCTAAACCCCTCATCCTGTCATCAACCCCAAATCCCCAGAGCTTCGAGCCTGAGAGCTCATCCAGCGGAATCTCTCCGGCCTCCTCGATCTGATAGGTGCCTCGGCAGGAGAAGAAACTGATGCCCTAAACCCTTATTATATTACATATTATGATATATTATACATGATGTTATATCATAACATAATCTATATTGTATATTATAACATAGTATATAACTAAAAAAATGTGATGTACTACATGACTGCTCCCTCTTTATTTGGGAGTTCCCGAAAATAGGGGACCCAAATAAAGCAATTACCCTAAATGGTAGGATCCTCATTATAAGTACCCTCAACTAATGCACCCCCAAGTTTTGGAAATTCCCATTTGCGACTGCCAGCATGAAAAATTGCACACATCTCTTCAGGTGCAACAGGGTTCGTGTAGAACGTAGACACTTCTCGTATCCGAGTCGCAGTCGCGCTCACCGGTTACCTGCGTCAAGCTGACTGCATGCACTCCTTTCGGCAGTTTTACAGGTGTCCGAGTGCATCTGGCAGGGCCGAGCAAAACAACGACATCATTACATTGCGTTCGCAGGCAGGGGCTTGTTCCAGTGCCTGCGTAACTATACCTGTCAACCAAAATATGTTTACATTGGGGTTATTATCATTATCCTTATTATTCTTGCTACTACTGTTATAATTATTACTATTAATGTTATTACTATTTTTTGTTACTACTATTATTATTATTATGATTAAGAAAGCAAGAGCCAGAGGCGGAAGATCGTCGATGCAGAAAATGCAAGCTCGATTTCGCAGAAACCGCCCTCAGTTGGTGTGATGACTGCACCCTCTTAGGGGGCCTCATAATAAGGATCCTACTATTTCGGGTACTCAATAAGAAGACAACTCCTGAGACCGCCACGCACTGAAAATTTTGCGGATGGGAGGTTGAAAGTGCACACTGTTTGCTTGCCACCGTCATCCCTCAAGGATTTTCCAACTACCCATGCGGTGGAGGGTAGTAGAAAAGATTTGGTTCATCCGGATTCCGAAGCGGCACAGGGAGGATTGGCCTGGCCTGGCTACCCTTGCACTGGCCGCCCGGCTCCCTCTTCACGCACTCGTCCGACTTCTGGAAGTAGAACTTGCTGGGGCAGGTCCTCTGGGCCGCAGGGCTGTAAAGTTATGCCGCCCTTCTACTGGCCATGTGGGAACCTGCTGGGGCCAACAAGTTCTGGCGAGAACCAGCACACTTCCAGGTATGCATTTGGGGCGGCGAAATTGCCCTTGCTGCCTATGCTAGCCGCAGTTACGACACCTAAAAAGACCCGTGCGGTCCCAGGAAGCGAGAACCAGGCAGCTTCACCCGGCAACGCCACTCTGCCGACATCATTCTTCCTGGGCAGCCGGTGAGGGCAACAATTTTTTGATTTCGGTGCCGGCCCGCGCTCCGTCTTTCAGAGCCAAGCTGCGTGCAGCCGATGACGTAACCGAGCGGCAGCCAGTGGAGCATGGAGCATCCAGGCCTTGGGAAAAAAAAACAGCAGGCCTCCCTAGAAGCTCGCAGAGTGCGGCTTCGGAAGGATCACTCGGGGTCCCGACACTGTGCATTTGGCCTTGTCGAAAGCCACGAAGTTGTCAAAGTTCTTGCTCTGTCCCCAAAGCTCCTGGTCAAATTTCCTAGTCTGCCTCTCCTGGCTTCTTTCAGTGTTCTTATGGCTGCTGTTGCCACTGAGTGCTGCCACCAGCTCTTCCCTCAAAATCGTACAAACCATATCATGTCTGGCAATCCCAAACACAACGTCGCCCAGCATTGACACTTGAGCTCCACAAATTTTGGAAAGCCGACCACGACCCCTACGCCATGCCTTGGAACTAGAACAGAGATAACACTGCCCCTTAGGGCCAAGAGTGCTCTTCCCCTTCGCAGGCTACTGCTACAGTACTTCTGTCGTCGTCCCCGGGCTACCTTCTTGAATTTTTGTCAGGTCTCAGCTTCTGTTGTCGTTTGCTCGATCTATCCGGCTTTGCAGAGATGCTCCAGAAACATCCGCAACATGGGTGCATTCTGCTGCTACACCACGACGACAGCACGATGGCCACGAAGACCACAGTGCCGCTACCAATGACACTGCGACTGCCACTACCACTATCTATCGCTGCCACTGTTACTGCTGCTAGCTGCTAGTGCTACTTCCACATACTTCCACAAGTACAGCCACTGAGCGTTACTCGTAGGAGTGATCATACTTCTCCCGGCCTGAGAAGACAGTCAGACACAACATCAGTCCGACTATTGTGAGTACTTGATGACAGCAAAGGCAGCTAAGAAAGAGCACCAATGCGCACCCCACCTGAGCTGCTGCGGATTACAATTTGCGTGTAGTAGATTTCTTGTAGCTGTAAGTGAGCTGGTATTACAGTATTACATGCCATGAAGACTAGTATGGCGATGTGGCTGCTAAGGATAACTGCTGCTATGCCAGCCCTAGTTCACTAGTGTTACTGCGGTGTTGGGGTTGCCCACTCCTTGGTGGCGCGGTACGTGACCTTGAAGCGTGTCAAGCGGGAGATGTTGAACTTCCTGCAGGCAGGCAAGCTCAAGGACAGGAAAACCCTCCATCCTGGCAAGAAACTACAAGGTCAGCAATCTCCCAAAACTCCAAAGTGCCACATTGGACCCTTTGGTTTGCCCGCAGAGGTGCCAGAATGGCAAAGCAGGATCCATGGCTTAGCAGTTGATGATGAAAAGCCCATTCAGAGGCCATGTCACGTCACGTCGGCGGAAGCTCCGGGGGGCGGTTTCAAACCTTTGGGTTTTCTAGGATTCTAGGGCTCATACATCACATGTCAATGTCAGTCCTGGGGCAATTGAACACCACTTCGTTGTGAAGATACCTGGGCACGCTGAAACCATCGAAGAAGCGGCAATGTGCAGGCCCAAGCGGTCACACTAGAAGCACGCAGAGTGCTGCTCTAGCGCTGGTCATGACCGCCCGCCACTGCAGCCTGCAAGTTTCGGGGAAAATGGCCCTTCAGGTTTCAAGGTGAAGGGCTTGGCCCAAGTTGCCAAATGTCGCCCAGAAGGTTGGCCATGTTGACACCGTTCAACTTGTACCTCTACATCTGCTGGAAAACGAGGGATCTTGTGCGACAGTCTGTGCGGCGTACTCACATGTGCCCCAATACTCTGGATTCGGAGGCCTTCCTGCACCGCGCAAAGACTAAACAATCCAGAATCCAAAACACACCAGAGTCCACGCCAAACCCTTGACTCGACTTGTCTATTTATCGGTCTGTCTGACCATGAAGGTGGCACACTACCCGCACGAACGCTTACACGTTCGCTGAACAGCATGCAAAGCAGAGCGCACCAACGAGCTGTTTGTTCCGCTCCGGCATGGGGACGAGCGGGTGCTGAGATCCGCAAAACATCGAGCATCGGAACGAAGAACTGCCCACCCCGAGACGAACGACCTCCCCTCGGACGGAGTCGTCACGTCGAAGTCGCTCGAACAGGCGAAAAATAAACCCTTCCCCAGAAACCGAACACCCGCAACAGTCTCGAACGAATTCCCGTCGTCCAAAACCCGACCAATCCCACCGCATCATCCCGCATCATAACAGGGTGGGTTGGGTGGGACAAAAAGACAGATCCTTCACCGTGCTTGATCAAAAACAGAGCATGCTGCTTTCGTGCAGCGGTGTGACCCTCCTTTTCCAAACCAACCCAACCGTTAATAGGAGAACCGACCTGTTTATCCAACCACCTATCCATAAGTCTCTCGGTCTATCTGTCTGTCTATCGAGCTGTATATCCGTCTATCTACCAATCAATGTCTCTTGCTGTCTCTATGCCTGTCTACATATATTACATATCTATGTACATGTACCTATGTATGTATGTATGTATGTATGTATGCAGGTATGTATGTATGTATGTATGTATGTATGTATTTGTGGGTACACGTGTATGCGTGATGACTGTGTGCGTATGTATGTATGTATGTGCGTTTATGTGCACAAACACAGGGGGGGGGAATGCTCGCCATGTGGCAGCTACGATGTGAGTGCAGCTCTTCCGTCCAGATCTCTGACGGTAACCAGGTTAACACATCGTGGGCAATGGCGTAACACTGTGGCCATTTCGACCCCAGCATGCTCTCAGCTTTTGAAGGTCCCAAAGAACTCAGTGCAAACAACCTCGATGAGTATGACAGTGAACCGAACCTCATCCAACCACAACAAAAGCAACACAAAGCATGACACCATGACAGCATAATGAACACAGGAACTGCATCAACAAGTATCAATGACTTAGTCCCTGAGACTCGCAATCGGTGAGGCTGCACACCTCTGGTCGTTGTCCACACGGTAAAGGTAGAAGGTCATCAGCTTGCCTTGAACCACAACCACATGCTCATGCGCATGCGAAAAGACAATCGGTGTAGCAGCTCGTGGCACCAACTACTGCAGCACAAGTGCCAATGATCAGCATCATAACAGAAGCCCAATAAGAACTCATCATGACGGTACTGGCAGAGAAAGCCTTCACCTTGTTTGTGAAACCTCTCCAGCATCATTTTAAGCTCATCCTGTCTTACCTACAGCGAGAAGTGGCACGAGAAACTTCAGAGAGCATCACCATGCATCACCGTTACATTCAGCACCCTACACGCACACGCACACACACACACACACACACACACACACACACACACACACACACGCACGGAGATTTGTCCATCATTGCCCCATGCTCCAAGAAGCGTAACACCCTTCAAATGCTCCGAATTGGACCGCGGAACCCAGAAACAAGCTTCACGAACCCAAACCGGTACTTGGACCTGGTGTTGTAGCCGGCGGCAGCAGCTCCGGCGCAGGCCCCGCGCCCAGCATGTCCTGCTTCTCCTGGGAGGGCTCTGATTACTGCACGGCTTGCAAGGCTCCGCACAATCCTCCACAGAGCTTAACAAGGCACAACAGGGATTTCAAGCCTAGGAGAACCCAATGGTCCACAACCAATCTAGGACCCTTTTGCAGCAGGCCTCGTTGTCCAGCAGCCCGGTTACAGCAAGAGCCCCCTTTCCCCCGCTTCTTCAAAGCAAGGAGAGGAGTCGAGCTGACAATCTAGGACACTGAACCCTAAACTAGGCCAAAAGCGCTCCCAACCGCCATCGCGGGTAGGGTCATTTGCCTCTGTTTCGAAATAGTCAAAAGTGGCCCCTCAAGGCCGAAAAGCGCACGGCAGGCTTCTGCATGTTTGGGATTGGCAAGAACAGCATGGACCTACGAAGGCACGCAATCGTTGTTTGATCCACTATCCTCTGGACCAACATCAAATTGTCAAGCGGAGCTTTGGGCCTTGGGCCGACGTGGTTCCGTATTGAATCATTGATGTCTGGGCTTGGTCTAGCAGCTCTGGAGTTGAAAAACCACACGTACTCGCACGAGAACCGAATGTTCTGAGAGATGATCAAACATTGAACTGGCATATGAAGGCCCGTGACAGTCAAGAACCTATGTGACCCAAGATGTTTCCAGGATCTAATTCCATCGAGATGGGTTTTCTTCCATGCCTCCAAGTCTTAAGATCACCAATAGCTACCAGCCGTGCTAGAAACGCTTCACTACATTGCTGTGAAAGACAAGCGGCAACTTCAGAGTCGCAGCAGCCTCACAGCAGAGGCACGAGGGTGCTACAAAGACGTGGGCTTCCCCCTTTGCCTTTAGGATTTGGTCTGATCTTGTTCAAACTACACTTCGCCAGGTTCGTCGAATCCCCAGGGTGGTTAAGTGAGTTTGTTCGGGAGCCTGAGGACCTTGTCACCTGCCTCTCTCAGTTGCACATGAGAACGCCTCAAGATCCGCGGCCAGTTCGTGCAACTGCCACGTACATTAAACATCATTCGACCTATGGCCCTTGCCGTTCTTCCGAGAGTAAAGCCCAGGTCAATATATATCCCAAACGACCAAGCAGCACAAGGACACCAGGCGGGCAATGAAATTCCAAATCTGGCCTCAGAAGGCCTTAGCCTTACAAGCAGATCCTGAAACACCAAGCCTGGAACCCCAAGACCCCAGTCGATGCCGCTCGCCTAGGTTTTGGCCAGCAGGGTTTGGGCAGCAAAGGCCCTTCAAGCCGTTTTCCTGCAAGTCGCAGTGGGCATCATTCTCATTGCCCGTCTAGAGTACCACCATTCCGAGGGAAATCTCTGATGGACCTGCCCACACAAAGCATACTGTCTCTGGGTGTACAGAGTGGCTATAGCCAACAACAAGCTCCTTGCAAAGACCGTTGTTCTCGCACATCCTTGATGGCAGGCGGGCTGCTGCGGGCACAAACACAACACCGGCACAGTTCCGGCTGCACCTCCCCTCCCCAACAAGACTCGACCGGGACGACCCCAAGATTTAAGTGAGCGGAGGGCCGTTCTGGGCTGCCGGGCCCGAAGCCGTAGAATCCAGAACTTCAAGGACTCCCGTTACCAATCCCGAGTCGAGCATGCCATGTGTGGGGCCCTCGGAAGCCATCCCTAAGCCCCAAGCTGCTAAACTCTGCACCTAAATCGCCGCGCCAGGCAGCCGGGGCGAGTCCGGTGAGACACCGAGGACGGGCGCGGCGGGAAGAGAGGTGCCACCTACGCTTCAAGGCTTGATGCTCCCCATGCATTCTGAAAAAACCGGCTAAGAAGACTCCCCTCTTGCACCGAAGGGCATCCTCAGCAGGATTCAAGCTGGTGCAAGTCTTCAACAACAAATGCGTGAGCATGGTCAAGTCCCTAAAGTCCTAAGTCCTAAAGAAGGAAAAAGTCAGACACTGATGAATACACAGGGAGATGCGTGCAGAGATCCATCTTTTTCTAAGGTGTACATACATACACATCTGTGGATTCATCCGCTTGCTGCACCCTTTGTATACTTAGCTGTTCGTTTAGTTGCTGAATTAAGTCCGCATTTGTTTGCTTATTCCGTGATGTACAGTAGACCGACAGAAAGGTAAATCAACCGCTAGATAGGCAGCTAGATAGCTAGCTAGAGAGATAAATAGATAGACAAACGGCTCGCAATCTAGCTGACAGACGAACAGATAGATGGACAGATAGGCACGGCCCAGCAAGATCAAGCAAATCCGCATCAAGGCTGATCAAATGCTATCATGTACAGGTAAGCAGCGATCTCCACGCCTCCGGGGCAGCAGCCGAGGCTAATGCCGGCATCGTTAGGGCAGCAGTTCCTGAAAGAGATGGGAGATCGCTACGAGATGCCATGCGACTCCAAAGGTTCAAATAAGGAGCACAAGGGAGGCTTCAGGATGTTGAAGTGGTACGGCTTATGTGCCACCACGTGCTTGCACCTTTCGACCTGTTGCAACCTGCGATTTGCGCAAGTGCGGAACAAGCTCACCAGAGACACCGGACAAATGCCATCCCCTGCCTACACGGGAGCAACGAGGAGGTCGCCGCAACATCGTTGCTTTTGCCCGTTCCCGAGGTGCATCGCCAGCCCACTCACACAGCGAAAGCGGCTTCTGTAAATATTCCAATCAACCGCAAGATTTGACCTCACACCCGATCCGCTCGAGATCCACCTGCCAACCGTTGATCGTCGAAGTCTGCCGCCGACCACCGGCATCCGAAATCAGGGAGTGAGCTTTCATCTCTGCAACACGTCATTGACCACCCACACCCTAGATCCAAGTATCGAGCGCTGATCAAAAGAAATCCCCATCATTGAAGTTTACCGTCGGTTGGTTTCAAGGTTGTGCACTAGGATCGTATGGTTGCCGTGACTTTGCCGTCACATTCTGCGCAAGTTCTGATACGACCCGGCTTATTGGCGTATAAACCTAGGCAACTGTACGTAGGGGACTTTGCGTTAGCTCACAGGTTTCATAGGTTGCGATCAGGTTATAGGCATCCTGAATGGGAACGTAATCTTGCATCCAGGAAGCCCCTGCAACTTCAACTTGGCGCACTCCTGGGCTTGGGGAGAGACTTTGAACGTAGGGTCTCGGCACTCACACTCCGACTCTTCAGTGAGCGGTGGGTGGACCCTCACACTCCTCCGACTTTCGCAGAACCGCGAGGCACACACACACACACACAAATTCCCTCGCACCCTGCCCGATGCAAGAAGGCTCGGCTATCACAGCTTCTTCGTGGTGCTACGCAAATGCAGTCACATGATTGATGCCACAGCTCCAGGCTGATTGCCACTTCATGCAAAATCCCTGTCGCAGTAAAATCTTCGAACATGCAGATCGACTTTCCATCAGTTCATCGATGTCATCAGAACTCACCGTGGGATTTTTTCCTCCTGCATCGCATGACCGCATCCGCTGATGGGCAGATTCCATTGGCAACATTCGGAACTCAAAACATGCTAGTTACAGGGTCATGACTTCAAGAGAGTGAGACACATGCTCGCGCCGAACAGCCTCCTCCTTCAAGGAGATAGCTGTTTGCTCCACTCTTTACGGCGGTCAGCTCACACGGGCATTGTGCTGTGGTTGCTTGTTCTACTTCATGATTGAACAGTGACCAGTCACACAAGCAAGAAGCGATGATGCTCGCTAACATCAATGACTGCCGAACGTAAACGCTGCACTGCACTGAGCTGTCCGACTTGTGAGGCAGATACAGTCACATTACGTCAGGCCCTGCCGAAGTGGTATGCTCAGGGTCCATGGGCTAGACCGAAGCAAGTAAAACACCTTCAGCCTGAGCAGCACAGACACCTCTGAAACAATTCAGTCATCCACGACACTAACTACCCAGCTCAGGACGGCAAGACAGCTCCAAAGATGACCACCGGCTTGCTTCCAGGCGGAGGTGGCACACATTTCTCGACAAGCAAGTATAGGTAGAGCAACAATGCGCAGAAGCTCGTGCTGAGATTCAGCACAGCAAACCAGCTAACATCCAGCTGGTTGATGTACATAGAACTGACGATGATGCTTGGGACGTCTTGCGCTATTCGCAACATGTCGCCATACGCCCTTTCACCACGAAACTCTATGGCCTCTTTCAGCTTCCTCTCAACCATGCAGCAGACGATGCCAAATCCTATTCCTGGCACCTCGAGGCCCGCAGAAGTAGTGAACGCGCGGTAGGGCTCGCATGTGTACATCATGCAGAGAGCGAAAGTTCCAAGGGACCACCAAACTATGCTGAATATCTCGAGGGCAAAATGCGCCTCTGCAGAGAGGCCCGTAAGCCCGACCACCAGAAGGACAATGAGAGGCACCGCGAAGCAGAGAAGGAAGGCGCAGGCGTGACAAATATTGACCTTTTTCTGACAGTTGTGAAAGTGAAACATCATCATGCAGAACCAGGAAGCTACCAGGACGAGCACGGAGAATACCCACAGTTCTTCTCGTGCTGCACGCTCAGACGTGCCAACGCTGTCCAACATGCTCCTGTACGATTCCAAGCAAAACATCGACGTCGCAAGGAAATCTAGCGGCTCGACGATGCGGTCTATGAACATCCACCGCCGTAGGCATCTGTTGTCTGCCACGCATGGGGGTGGACCCTGATTCGTCATACAGCAGCCCATGGTGCAAACGGCAAGTGCCAACTGCTGCAAAACTACCAGAAGTAATGCTTCTCGTTGGCTCGGACCATGCTTGGAGTGCTGCCGCCACGAGGGCTAGCAAAGCAAAGCATTCCGAAAGCTGTGCACTGTGAGGGCAGCATTTGGCAGTTTGCTTCTAGGGTTTTTTGTTGAGTTTCGGGTGGCATCTCTTACTAATGAAACAATCGGCAAGTCTGACGAGCGGGGATGCGAGACTCACTGATATAACCCTGTTGCTACTGATGCTACTGGACACTGATATAACCCTAAACCCTAAACCCTTTTTAGCACGGGCTTTGGTTGTATGCCGGCAAGCTGGGCTCTCAAGGTTTTCATGAGATATCAGCAAACTTGAAACTAACTCATGTCCTAAACCCTATACGTTATAAATTACATGGGAAACCCCGCGTGTCTCAGCCCAAGGTCCGGGGCAGCAGAGCAACTCGGGTCGGCTGTGGCCAGGCGAGCCTGAGCCTGCAGACGAAGCTAAAGATGTAAGGGGGTTTTTTCCCTCCTACCTAGCAAGGACGAAGCCCACATTGCAGATGTAAGGGGGTTTAGGGTTGCGGGTTTAGGGTTGATGGGCCTGTTCCAGTTCGCCGAAGAAGCTCTGACTGTGAGTTTAGAGAAGCCCTCAAAGCAGCTTTGCGGTGCTTTCGGTTTATGTACAATCACCCCCTGCCTGCCGCAGTGCCTTCTTGTGCATGTATGAGAAACCGGCTCCCAATCAGCTTATCACGATCAAGCGAAACAAAAGTGAAGCCTATGGCACTCTTGGAAGATGCCTTCAACAACAGGCGGCGATTGTCTGGTGCAGTGGGCTGTGTCTGCATCTCGGCCCTAGCTTGGCGGCTTCTCGAAACTTGCCAAAGATCTCAACCTGAAGTGGCCATACAATACAATACAATACAGCACACGCAATGAATTGGAATTCATTGGTTGTATCTTTATCTATATGTAGTCGTAGCATACTACGATACGTCATTATTCTGTATTATATTATCCGTATATTCTGCATATTCTACATTCTATACATTCGAAACATTCTATGTGGGAGTTTCCGAAAGTAGGGGACCCTAAAACAGTACCCTAAGTAGACGGATCCTTATGATAAAGACCCCAAAAGAAGACGCCCCTCATTTTCGGAAACTCCTAAACCCTTTGAGAGCCCTCTAAAGGAACCCTTATAGTAACCCTTTAAACGAACCCTTATAGTACCCGTATAGTAACCCTTTAAAGGAACCGTCATAGTACCTAAACCCTTTAAAGGAAGCCGTATAGTCTCCTCCCCCAGTGCCTTCAACTCGCCTCGGCCTCAGCTCAAGGGACCAAATCCTTCTCAGCACTCAGACGAAGCCACCTACTCCTGGTTGTAGAACGTTTTTGAAATTTTGGGGTTTAGGGTTTGAGCTTTAGGCTTTCAGCACTCACTCTCGGACAAGCCTTGGCGAGGATTCCCAGTCCTAAAGCGAGGGTTTTGGGTTTTGCGCTGTTTCTCCCTCCCACCGACAGTTGCTCGGACAAGCAGGGTTCAGTCAGAGAGAACTGAAATACAGCAACGATCTCACTTGCATAGGGTTTAGGGTACCATCGGCTTCACCACTCAGAGTACGATCACTCAGAGTAGGATCAGTCTCGGCACCTTGGCGCAAGGTGTGGAGAAACCTCCAACCGACGAAGTTCTAAACGCACCCTTAAGATCCGTAGAACATCCGCTTGTCGCTTGCGCTGCAAGCGGGAAAACAATCCGTCAAAGTTGCTCTGAAGGAGTTCGACACCTCGGCTTGCACGAGCAGGGCTTGGCACAACAAGCACTCTGCCGGAGTTACGGACAAAGCTGCTTCACTCCCTGACATAATCTCGATAAGTACCCCAAGCCCTGAAGACTTGCGACCTGCCTACCGAGCTTCCAGGCATGGCAACAAAGAAAAAAACGTAGGTGAGCCAAACCCTAAGGCAGCCTAAGCCAATGCTGCCACAGCTGCCCTTGTCTTCCTCCACTGCAAAGGCTTGATTCACGTCTTCACAGGCCTCGGGCGGCTTTGGCATCGCTGTGTCGGAGACATCCGAATCATCAACCAACACAACAGGTTCCATGAGAATTCGTTTCATGCCGTTTACATCCAGGAAGGATTAAGGCATGCCCAGAACCGATGAAGCACAGAGCAATTCCTTCTGCGAATTTGCTGCCGGAGACCAGCGCTGGTATTGGCCTCCCTGCTTCTACTATGTGGTTTTGGGGCCCCTATATGATCTTCCAAAATTCATGCAAAAAAGGCTCCTCATCTGCCAGCACAGCACCTTACATCGATCACAGGGTTCCCTTTTTGGCCCCCCGGGGTTCAACACAGCCACGGTTTAGGGGTTTAGGGTGTCGGCGCTCACAGTCGGACAATCCAGGCGAAGCATATGGTTCGGAGTCTGCTGAGTGAAACGAACCGAAGGGATCATTGAGCTACAACAACTTTTATCCGTATGGCTACAACAAAGAAAATTAACTGTGCTCCTGAAAGTATTCTACCCCTTCTCAGGATCTCCGGCGTTGAACTATGCATCATACGGTATCTTGTGGCCAGCTCTGCAGATCGCTTTGAGGACTCGGGAGTTAGAAGCCACTACACTGAACCAGTAGAAAGTTGCAGCCGGGACGACTGAGGTTTATTGCGATCTGTTGCGAACTTCTTTACGACGGTTCGCGGGTTGTATCTGAAGGTGAAAGCGAATACGCCCAAACTTAACCCACCCAACTGGACTTATCAAACCAAGTTGCTCAAGTATTCCAAATATTCAGATTTAGTGCAGACCAGCGCGCTCAACTAATGGACATGCATGTGAACTCCATGTCATCACCTCGTGTGTGACGTGTTCGCATGCAGACGCTGCCAGAATTAGAATGACGCTAAACAAACTTCGAGCTTGCCTTCACGAGTTTTATCTTGCAAATCTACTGAATTTAAACCTTACTCACCGGGATAACATCAGGGACATCCGCCCCGACGTCAGGACTGAACTCGGGCAAACGATCCAAGCCAGGTATTCTAGCTTGTATCGCTTCAGCTGCCCGCAACAAACCATGGTAAAACACTCCTGGGTCTGTTAGGAGCGCTCTTGCTCTATGAGAAGATCTCGGAAGTTCAAACGTCTGAATGACGTGAATGTAACGCACTCCTTTCGCGGGCCAAGAAATGGGCCAGCATGTCAACGATTGGTCTGTAAATGCTGTGGGCTCTGTGGTACCTGCCGTGGAAGGAGGTTCCGAAGTCGGAGTCCGCGGTGTAGAAAGCATTTTTGGACGGAGGGAGCGGCGCCGTGCCAAATATCTTGAGCATCACCAGGTATACATTTTGGTAATAGTCGGAAATGGAGTGGGCGAGACGGTGCAACCCGTCGCCTCCGCCTAATATAGACGGCGTTATTCGGATCTGTGATTGTAGCTTCGAGAATAACCGTCAGCGCATCGCCTGAACTAGGGTGTCTAGGAGATATGTACTCCCATCAGCCGAGGCAACCAGGCCTATGCAGTTCCATGGAATGTCAAAACCCATAAGCCTGAGGGCGACGAATGAGCAGGCTTTCAAGCCTGATTTGTGGATACTCAGCCAACTAAGGTAAGGATAAAGCATGACATTAAGTGCAACTATAACCTCCCAGGGTTGGACGCCTCTAATTGCTCCTGTTCTCCTTCTGGAGTAAGAACGGAGCCTGTGCCACCGCAGTCGAACTGGCTGAAGTCGGTTTGCAATAATATCGGGTCGTCAACCTGGTCATCATAAAGTAGCTGTTCAACAGCACGCGATTGACCAGGAATTGGTAATCCGAAGATTGAAGAAAAGGCCGAGTTTTTCATAAAGGCGTAGGGTTTTTTCGGCCACATAAGTTGGTGGAGGAGGACATGGAACGCGCTAGCCCACACGGGTCTGACCTCGCCGGCACTCTTTAGAGCGATTTGGCAGCGTGAAAGCATGACATGTCGTGTCTGCTCCCGTGGTTGAAATCCGCTGTGCAGCAGATGTATCATCCAATTTTGCCACTTACCAACCGCATCGGAATGGTTTTCCGCCTTGGGTCCGTACCAGAAGTAGCCCCAGCCAGAAAATGATGTCCTGGCGTACTTGCATTCGTCAGGTTCAAGAGGCTGTAAAAGACATCGTGTCGAACTTGAATTCGAAAATCGTCTCCTCGATCACCTCTGAATATATATTCTGGATGCAGGGTGGTGGTGCCATAATGGTTCTACCGCATGTTGTTCTGCATCTAGGAATGCCTTTCGGCTGTCAATGACCAACCTGAGCGGGTGTAGATCCCGTGAATGAACTCGACAACTTCCTGATCCAACTAAGGATCTGCTCGGAGGGCAGCTAGCGCATTTGCATCTCTAGAGTCAGTGCCGGGTGGTAGCCGCGCAGAGGAGTCGAATTCCTTAGGGTAACATCGTTCTCGCCTGACCTGCCGTCTGTGATCGGCATCAAGTGCATGTCCATAAAGGAAGACACATCGGATGAAACTATCCAGCAACAGGTTGAACTGTCGCAGAAATTGCATTGCTGGTTGGGCCATCATGTCTCTTGAGCCAAATGGCTACGGGTTTAGCGCTCGCACTCGGACAATCCAGGCGAGGCATATGGTTTGGAGTCTGGCAAGTGAAACGGCACTAAAGGAAGTCGTCAAATGATAAAGCAACACAGAAAGTAGTCAACACATAGAAAAGTGACTGAGCGACTGTACCTCCTCAGACTGCTTCCTACCCAGGGTCCTACGAAGCGATTAAGCACAAGTGTAACCAGTAGGGCCCTGGGGGTCCACGAAGACAGATCACTGCCATGATAAGGGAAAGAAAACACATAAGTGGATGACGTCTGAAGTAATCCAGGTTCAGCATGTTGAGGGTTTAGGGTTTAAGGTTTACGCTCTCGCAACTCGGACAAGCCTGACGAGGTCTCTGGCGAAGTACTTTGACTGGTCTGGTGAAGGTTGCTGACGTC